TATATATATATAGTAATTATATATACCAGTATATATAATTAAAACAAACCCTAAAATTCTAAACCGTCTTGCGGTAATGCTATAATATTCGAGAAATGTTCATACTAATATGGGCCCATCGATTAGTAGGTAAGTAAGTAAGTAAGTAAGTAACTTTTATTGACATCATCAAAACAATCATAATATAGTAAATACAGACAAAATACAGTAACAGAAAATGTATAAGCGTATATATGTCGAACGTGCGACATAGCTTTCTCAAATCATGGACCTATTAATAATATAATATAATATAATATAATATAATATGCTCAAATCGACACAGTTATATAGCAACTAGCTTTAATTATTATTTGCCCTAGACGGACTCTCTTTTTGAATATGTATTCTGAATATATTTTGCTAAAGAGGAGAAGGTGTCAAAATCGGATGACCCTATAAGAGCCACAAACCTCTGCTCACATTATAGCAGGTCAAGATTGGCGATGACATTTTGCAGGTCATTGAATAGCAATACTCTCAGTTCATTGTAAGCATTACATTTGATAATACAAAGTGAGATTGATCCTCGACTTCTCTTGAATCACACATTTTACTTTGCATTTATTCGGTAAAAGCATAGAAAAAGACTTATTTACAGTGGGGTCCTTCTGGTGGTGATTGTACTGCACCACCAGAAGAATAAGTCTTCTGGTGATGATTGTGCAGTACACCAGGAGACAATTCCCCACTCTTTTCCGAATTGAAGAGTGTATTGCACACGGGACCAACGGCTTAAATGTCTAATTCGACAGACGGTGCGCTATTTTAATAAGGAGAGGCAGCAATGGGAATTGAATTGGGACCTTGATCTCCACGGTTCAGCACACACACTGTGGCTACCACCAGATTAGCCGACTGAGAAATGCTCTCTCGGTGCTTCGCTCTGCATAATTCGTATATAACTCGTAATCAACTCAAGGTCGTACCTCACTCGTAGCTAACACGATAGCATTGGCGGATCTGAGGGTGGGGTGGGGTTAGGGGGACCTGACCCCCCTTGGGAAAAAAAAAATTCTCTGTATACCGGTACACACATAGGCCTATTTACTGTAATAAGAATGAGAAAAAATTACCTGACCGTTTACCAAAAGGGGAAAACCTTGAATTTTGATTAAAAGACACTCATTTCTCGCCCTCTAAGAACCACAATTTTCCCGGGGATGACCCCCGACCCCCGTTTTATTTGGGGTTCATCGATTTATTGAAAAAGGAATATGTATGCAGCGACTCAATTTTTGTTATGTACTGTACATACACATATAGAAGGGCTACTAGTATTTACAGTAATAAGAATGAGAAGTTTACCTGACCGTTTTCAAGCGGAGGAAAACCTTAAAATTTAAAGAATTTAAAAGTCATTAAAAGACACCTCAAGTCGGGAAAGCTCATTTCCTGCCATCTAGTGATCAAATTCTTCCCGGGGAGGACCCCGGACCCTCCTTCTTCTTTGGGGTTATCCGTTCATGGAAAAAAATACGTAAGCAACTCAATTTTTTTATGTACGTATACAAACATAAGTAGGTCTATTTACTCTAATAAGAATGAGAAAGTTTACCTGACCGTTTTCAAGAGGAGAAAACCTTGAATTTTGAAGAACTTAAAAGTCATTATTAGAAAACACCTTAGAAGTCTGGACAGCTCATTTCCCGCCATCTAAGAATCAAAATTTTCAGGGGGATGACACCGACCCCCCTTTTTTGTCGTTTTTATGAAAAAAAAGTCTTACCCCCTAAATGTAAACCTAGATCCGCCCCTGCGTAGCAAGCTCGTATCCAGTAAACACAAGACGCTCTTATAACGTTCGAGAACTTTGTAGTTTAGTATGCCACAATATAATGTTCACACAACGTTGTAAGAACTTTCAAACGTTGTGACGTCGTGAAATTCATTTTATAAGTACGTACATAAGAAGTATAATACATACTCCAAGTATTGAAATACACGCTATCGTGTTGGGATTCAATATTTCGGCATTAATTATGACATCATCAGGAATGAAAAAAATTATCCATATTAGCAAGCTTATATGCACTAGTACCAAAATTGTTTAACCAATCAAAACATTACCTCTAGTAGTTGACATGTAGCAGTGATTTAAACAAAGTACGTACATGGTTCTACAAAATAGCGTTTTTATTACCAAACTATAACGTTATTATATAACGTTCTTATAACGTAATATTATTAGCTGGGTACGTCCTTCCCCAAATCACGAGTTTTTAACTCGTAGAACTCGTGCGACTCTACGATGAAATCAACCTAGGTGGGAAAGGGGCTTACCAGCATGCCTCTTCATTACTCCACTGAAAACACCCTGTCACCCTTCTCCCTGTGCTAATTAATAGTTCTTGATTTCAATGCCTTACGGAAATAATTCGCCTCAACACAAGATAAGATGTTAGTGTATCAACTCGATTTGACTATTTCTCAAATCTTCTTCATTATCAAGAAGTCTATATCCCATTTTAACCATAACTGATGAGCACATTGATTGGACAGACAGTACATCCTGAAAGTCCATCGACTGTCGCCAAGCGAATGGAACCGTTTTTGAATTTTTTGCGACAACCATCGAACCATTGGAAACGTTGGTGACATTGGTATTGTTTCTGATCCAAAATTCAACTTCAGAAGGAAGAGAGAAACCAATGAAGTCATATATCCTTTTAGCCACCTTAAGCGGGTTCAAAGATAATTCTTCATACTTCAATTCCATGTACCGATCTTCCGACCATATCGATTTATATTCCACACGTTCTCTTGTATTTTCTATAAAAGTACAGAGATCGTTTGCTAATGTTGTAATGTTTTTGACGCTATTCTTGAAATAGCGTTTATTTGAGAATATTGTCCCTCTGGGATCTCGAACAAGGTGGATAACTTTTAAATTATTCTCTGAATTCGCTGCAAAACGTTCTAGGTACCTGATTTTGAATAATCGTATCGTTTTGATAGCAACCAAATCACTTTGTTTACACTTTTTACTCATCTCATTGTATATAGTAGAAAGAGGCAAGTGAGAGAAAGAACAGAACGAGGTACTTCGTAAAGCATCGCCATAGAAACACATGTAGTCGGGGAAGTCATGATACCATAATGTACGAAAAGGCATGCGATTGAACTGGCACGACAAAATTGCCTCCAATGTCGACCGACTGATGTTCTTAATATATGTAGGGTCCATTGGTCTTTTACCGAAGTGTCGCAAAAAATGTAGAGGTTCAAAAAGATAGAAAGATCTTGGATTATTGCCGAAGAGTTCACCAGTGAATGTTGATCCTGACCTCCGAAAGGTCATCAAAACAACTTGCGTTTTTGTTCTTGGTATAAACGAGTGAATTGAATGAGCCATTGATCCTTCATCATGTACTAATTCTCCTTTATGTAACAGGGTGATTGGCCTATCTGGAAAACAAAAACAACCTAACACTTAGAATCAGGAACAATAATAATATTAATAATATAACAAGTAATAATGATGATGATGATGATAATAATAATAATAGTATGAATAATAATAATAATAATAGTAATAATAATAGTAATAATAATAATAATAATAATAATAATAATAATAATAATAATAATAATAATAATAATAATAATTAATCATCATCATCATCATCTGGTCGTAGCCACTGTGTGTGTGTGCCGAACCGTGGATATCTCTAGGTCCCCTGTTTAATTCCCGTTGCTGCCTCTCCTTGTGTTTCAGCTTGAAGGCTGAAATACAAGTTACAATAGCGCACCGTCTGTCGGATTAGACGCTTCCGTTGGTCTCGTGTGCATTTTTGGCACATGTGCACGTTAAAGAACGCAGTACACTCTTCAGAAAAGAGTAGGGGATTGTCTCATGGTGTGCTGTCCAATCACCACCAGAAAGACCCTAATAGAAATAATCTTCTTCTAGAGTTTCGTGGGCTATCCCTTGTGCTTACACCGAATAAATCCAATCGAATCCAATATGCCTAATAATAGTAATAATAACTAGGGAACAGTGAAATTAAATTTCACTGTTCCCTGTAATAACGAAGATAATAATGATAATAATAAAATAGGTCGATAGGTCAAGTAATGAGGCCTAATATTAATAACAATATTAATAATGTTATAATTGTAATATTTGTTAATATTTGTTATCTTTACAAAAATAATGTAATTATATAATTATAAATAACAGTTACTTTAATAATAGGCCTAAATGTATCATTTGCGTTGGTTGCTTTACTTACACAGAATGAATGTTGCTATAAAGAACAGAAACATCAACATGCATAGAAGTACAAACAGCCGGTATATGCCCATCGCGCTTCATTCGAAACAGAACGTCAGTCAGTTTTATTTATCTAAATTATGAAAAATAAATATGAAATTTAAAAATATTGTTCTGAGTTTAATAAACTTTCTGATAAATACGAACGCTATTTTATGTAATTATAAGCCTAGTTTACTATCTTGAAAATAATAACATACAGTAGGACTATACGTAGGTCTAGGTCTATATGTATTGTTAAGTCTACTAATAATTAATTCAATTTAATAAAGAATCTGTTGTCAAATATATACCTTTAAATTATAATCTAGATAGTGATGGACTACATTAGGGCATAGGGTTACATTATGCCACGGTATGTCTACATGTGAAGGTTTTAATCCTTGCTTATAGGCCGGCCTTATGCAAATAGAAACCCCTTCGCTAAGATATCTTATATATAAATTCTTCATTTCAATGAGACATAGAGTTTACAGTTATTTTCCGATCAAAATATGTTTCGTCGTACGTAGGCCTAAAGAAAGAGTGAAAGATGCAACAAACCTGACAAAGTGGACCACTTGAATGCCTCGGGGTGTACCTACAGCCTGACGTTTAAATATACAATACTAATTTGTTTAAATCATTATTACGTTCAATATTATTGCATTATGCTAGACGAATATAATTTAAACTGAATCTATGCCAAAATATGATTCAAACGACAGTCTATCATTATGTTATCTTACTGTCAAGGTGCCGCTCTATACAGATTGTGAAGTTGAATTACAGAGTAAACCATCACATAAAGCATACCAACCTATTAAAACATTCACGTCATTATTTTGTCCAATGGTATTCCAGTACAGGAGGGCCTAAGCAGTATTCTTCGCCAAAAATATAGCTTGTTCAGAGGCTTGATAAACCGCAACCGTTCATTGTTTCTCTAGGTGACGAAGTGTGTACTCTCAGCTCGACTGTTCGGCTTTTTCTGTTCTAAACCGTAATCTAATTAGGCCTCAGGAAGTTGACTAATACAATTATTTCCTTTTTGAAGCATTTATCCATACGTCCTGGCAAATAACATTGGAATCAAACAAAATAAAGTTATATGCGTAATAGATAGGCCTATTGCCGTTACTAAGGGGGAAAAAACATTTCGTGTAACTTTTCTACTTAACTGTAATTTAAAAAAAGCATTAAACGTTGTGAGTACAAACACGAGTACAGAGGTGGTAGTGTGCATTTCAAGCAGTGAAAAATAAATCCGCCATAGGCCTACACACAATAAAACTGCCAATAAACGGACTCTGAAATTATAGTTGTATGTCGCAGGTAGGCCTAAATATCATAGATCATATCCACCATGGGCTAAGTCATATTACTCTATATTTTGTTTATGCTTGCTGAATCATTGACGGTAAAAGTTAAGGTTAAGTTGTGTATTTGCAATATAAAGTTACTTTCTTCAAATATTCTGCATCTTTTTAACAGGAGAGTTGAATAGCTTAGTGGTCAATATGCTTGCTTTCGAATACCATGAGGCTCCTTGGTTCAGTTTCTGGCAAGGAAACATAATTTCTCATTACCAAAGACCTCCACTTTTCAGGCCTTTTAAATAGAAAATCACTCACGTATTCTTTATTCATACGGACTTTATTCAAACTTCAAACGAGGCATCAACAAGAACTCTTGTAACTTCAACGTTCTACTTGTAGTTCTGCTGGAGACGGCTGGTAAAAAAGACTATTGAAGTAGCCAATGACAAAATATCATTTATAAAGCAGATACCGCTGATGAATATTCCCTCCCATCTGTCGTTTAAAAGTATATTTTGCCATACCTCATACTAAACCACGAGTTGCTTATTTAATTGTCAATAATAATAACATACTAGTAAAATAATTAACGTTTAACTGTAGAATACCTTGAACAGTCAAAGCTTCAAAAAATCAATAGCTAATTTGAAACACAGTAAGCTAAAATTTTAGGCTACAGTGCATTAGGTTAATTAGCACGTCAGAAAACTTCGAGGGCTGAAAAAGATCTGAAATGACAGGATACAACATATTGGTCTTATTATCGTTATTACTTGATTTGATTGACATCTCAATACAATGATTGTAACGCTGTTAACTTAAATACTCACTCATGCGAATTATTGGAGAAGTGATTTATGTCAGATGGGAGGCTTCTTTTGCTACTTTAACAGTTACTGTATTGAACATTTAGACAAATATTTTTTGTAAAAGCAAACAAGATTCCTGGAATATCGAGGTATATTTCATTGTAATCCGAATAATTTCTTGATAAGGAAAAGAAATATAATCAAATAAATAGAGCAAAATACCGAGATCAGGAACCAGCATGGTAAGGCTTTTATCCAACGGTGGATGATCATGGTTGAAAATCTTTGTATTACAGGATAATCGCCAAGTCCCTTGGGCCTACATTACACTTTCCAAAATATTGTCACTTTAGCTTCAAAATCCATATCTACTGCCTTGTACAGCACGCCCTCTAGTGTACCACAAGACCATCAATAGCATAGGCCTAACCAAACTTGCATTACTTGGTTATTTGCTCAAAATAGTATGATAATGGAATTTAATTTAAATGAGAAAATTTAAACAGCATTATGAAACTGTCAACTAACATTTGACGGACGTAATTTGAGTTAATTGCTCTCAAAAAAAGCTCCTGCTTGTCAGTATTATACAGAATACTTCAATGTGTAGATTGGATGCTGGAAGAGAAATGACATATGCAATTCCATGTCACAAACAACTCATTAAGTTTTAATAGTAGGCCTATTATTGGATTAAAATGACTTGAATACTGGTTCTTCGTTTCTAAACGTGTATTATCTACAGCAAGAATGGATTTATCAACAGCTTAGTACAGAAATACGATGTCTGTCCCTGAATTTTTCCAGGATAAACTAGGTGATTTGGCGTATAGGCTTGATTTATACCTTATTGGTTATCCGTCATACGTAAGACAAGACATACGCATCGTCTGAGCAATTATATCATATGCAGTCTGGCGTCAGTCGATGTTTTACCTGGTTGCATCATGATATTCAACTTTTCTTCGTAAAGAATCCAACGAGAAGAATGAATGCTTCGATAGTCTCTAAAAGAAATGGGTTGTTTGTTCCTGACAACGATAAACCGGGCGATTTGGCGTATAGGCATCACCTATACATTATCGGCTATTCGATCTTTGGAATTTTAGCCATTATCGGTAATGCATTTGTGATACACGTCATACGAAAGACAAGGCATATGCATCGTCTGAGCAATTACATCATATGCAGTCTAGCGTCAGTCGATATTTTAACGGGTTGCATCATGATTCTAAACGCTACATCGTACATGTTTGCCCGGACGAACATTTTTATAAAGATAACAGCCATAATCCGAGAAATGTTTACATTTGTTTCTTTAAACCATATCTTTTTTTTGAGTATGGACCGATATATAGCTGTTTCACGACCATACTTTTACCAGTCTCACAGTGAAAGGAAGGCCGTAGTGACAGCATATATCATCCTTCCTTGGTTATTCATTCTGCCTTCAGCATGTATGTACCACCTCATTCCAAAAACTACGTTATTTGCCTGTCCTAACTCTCCGTTTGGAGATTATTTACTAACAGAATTCATAGGGTTCACGATAATGTTTGTTGAGGTATTTGTGACTGTTCTTTTTCACGTTCTTATTTTTTTAACTGCCAGAAGCCACCAAATACGTATCCAGACAGAGATACGTACGATGCATTCGCAGCAAAAGAGCAGGTTAAAATTTGAAATGAAAGCTGCAAAGACAACGATAATCGTGGTCGGCGCTTATATATCGTTTATTAGCCCACTTTTGGTGTTTTACGTATCCGATATATTTTGTGCCGGTTGGACAGACTACTATTTGTCTTTCGATATTGCCTGGTTTGTAGTCCTTTGTAATTCATCTGTAAATCCTGTTGTGTACACTTTAAGACAAAATGAATACAAGATTGCCGCGAAGCATATTTTCTGCAGGACAACAAGGTAAAAATGACTTTCAAGAAGCGGCGGTCATTGCGCAAAATTCGGTAATAGACATACTGAAAAAATAATCGTTCAATTATGGCACAGCGGCAAGGCTTCAAGCTTTTAATCGAGAGGTTCTGGTTCTTGTTATATTTCTGGTGGAATTCCGACCTCCTAAGTACTCCGAAAGTGTGTTAGTGTAATAGGAGAGGTAGAAATAGAGCCGAATGATAGTTGTGAGTTTGAGACCTGCGTTGGTCATGTCGTCAATGGGTAATTATAGTGTAATATTCTTTTTAATTCAATGACCAGATAGAAATGCGCATTTAACAGTGAAATCTGATTCCGTTGTATGTCTATTAACGAATTTCATTGGCTAATTGTAAATATGTGTTTCCATGAGTTATAACTGTTTTCTTTGTATTTTAATTGTAAAGGTGTAATGAAATTGTAGTTCTAGCAATTATTTTAATAATTTCTTTGTGATGCGCCTCTGAATAATATTTATTGGTAAATAAAATACATTATTAAAATTATTCTTTTTAAAAATAATATGTGTGTTATATAATATTTTAATTATAGTGTTTAATAATTATTATTGAAGTGTTCGCTCACGTGACTTTATTAAATTCGTTTGCGAATAATCTAAAGTTAAAATAATGCAAGTACCGTAACGTCTCAGTAATAATGTTATAAACTTGAATTCTAAATACGGTAACAATTATACACAAATTATGCACTGGCCTTACGTTTTTAACTCTTTTAGATATGTAAGATTAAAATATATATGTTTTCAAAGTGGAATTCATCTACCGTAAAACCTCAAATTGAAGTCCAAAGGGCTTAATCTCGAGATGAAGCCCATCTCGAATTGAAGCCCCCCTCCTTAGTTTGCAAAATTAGCCTCGAAAAGAGGCCCATGGGCTTCTTTTCAAGAGAGTAGGCTTCTTTTCGAAATGGTACAGTACATAGACTGTACATGAATTTCAGAAAACAAAATAAATTAAATACAAGCTTGGTTTATAAAGTAGTTTAGGTGATTTAATGCAAGTTAACACTCCGTTATACATATTGGTGTTACAGTGGTCTTATATATTGTTTCATAGCACAAATTCACAACATTTACAGCATTCATTTTGAAAAATAGCTCCCCTCTTTACTTTACAAAAGTAGCGTCAAAAGAAGCCCATCAAAAGTTCTCAAAAAAAAAAAAAAAAAAAAAAAAAAAGAAGCCCGGGCCTTCAATTCGAGGTTTTACGGTACTGTTTCGTAACACTAACTTCCTGATATCTGACATTGCAATTATATATCCATAAGTCAAAGACACGCATAATAATCAGGTATTGATAGAAACAGCTCATTACAACGGCCTGTAAAATGAATTCCATTTACAGTATTTTTAAAATGTTGAAAATCTGTAATGTAACTTTTCATTATTAGGCCATGTATAAGAAGCATGTTTTGTTGTCTCCTTCATATTTATGGCCCAAAACAACCATTTTATGTATAGGAATGCAGACATTCCCCCAAATAATTAGTAGGCTTATTTATGCATTATGTCCCTGAAAAGGTACTACATTCGACTCTGTGTCAACAATGTCAAGATGCATTTGACATATACCTGTGATTCCCTGTGTGTGGGTGTGGTATGACATTATACCCATACAAAAAAGTTCTATAGAGCTCTATAGAATTCTATAGAACTTTATATAGAGTTCTATGTAACTCTATAGAGGCAAAAAAATTCTATAGAAATGTTTTATAGAGTTTACGCATTCTTTAGAATTTTACTATTTTCTATAGAATGTTGTATTCCACTCTATAGAAAATTAGTTTGTTGCACAATTTATGACCTACACTGGATTTTCAATAAATGTGTTATTGCAGAAGCTTGGTTTTGAACATGAAACATTATTAAATAATAATAATAAATAAAACTATTGCATTTGGCTCATGGTCTGATGTTGAGTAACTAAATAATGCATAGAGTTTAATATGTGTATCATTTTGTCGCAAATAATTATACTTCATATTTTTGGAGAAATTGTATAGAAATCTATAACATTCTCTTTAGAAGCTGTATAGAAATTCTATAGAAAATTCTATAGACATCTATAACCTTTGCTTTAGAAGTTGTATAGGAATTTTATAGAATATATGTTTGGAAATGCATAACAGATGCATAAGTTACAGTATCAATTAGCATGCTCACATTTTAAGTTAAAATGTTAAAAACATTAAATTAAGCATTTAATTTAAACATTCAAGTTAAATTATACATTAAATTATAAACATTTAATTAAATATTAAAAACAGCAAATACTTAGCCTTACAACACATTTTAAAATTGAAATGAAAAATGAATTTAATGCACATATTTGTAACAAATACTTAATCTTACAAAATCCTTAACCACAAACCACCATTGTGACCATTTTAAAGTTACTTTAAAATCTACTTTAATCATTCCAGATGGGAGAGATAGACATGTTTTCAATAACCAGACAATGGATCAGGCCGTGAAAGGGGTCCCATTTATGGGTTGAGTTGTACGATTTAGTAAATTATTTAGTGTATGAAATGAAATGCTATAAAATTTATACTGTCCTACACAAAACAAATGATTAATTACAGAAGGTTTCATACAAATACATTTAATAAGAATTATAAC